TCTCTCTCTCTCTCTCTCTTCCTCTTGTACCTCACTGCAATTATCTTTCTCTCTCCCTGTCTCTCATTTTCTCACTCTCTGAGGCACAAACCTAGTTTTTCTTTCCCTCTCACCAGCTCAACTCGAAACACACACTCACACACACACATATACACACACTATATATACATATACTCACACACACACACACACATACACAAACACATACATACTCACATAAACACACACACGGATACACAAACACATACACGTACACGTCTCTGACACAAAATTATCAGTCTGAAAACAACAACAACAACAACAACAACAACAACAACAACAACAACAACAACAACAAAGAAATAACAGACACTCCCAGCATATTGCAAAACAACAATAACAACAACAACAACAACAGAAATAACGGACACTCCCAGCATGTTGCAAAACAACAACAACAACAACAACAACAATAACAACAACAACAACAACAACAACAACAACAAAAGAAATAACGAACACTCCCTGCATGTTGCAAAACAACAACAACAACAACAACAACAACAACAAAAGAAATAACAGACACTACCAGCATGTTGCAAAACAACAACAACAACAACAACAACAACAACAACAACAACAACAACAACAACAACAGAAATAACGAACACTCCCAGCATGTGGTAAAAAACAACAGAGCCCTCCCTCACTCAAAAAAAAGCCATCAACACTTCATGTCTGTTTCTACTTGCTTCTTCTCACTCGCCAACGGAAAAAAAAAACAACCAAACAAACAAAACAGCAGAACACCCCTCCACAAGAACCCCACCTCCCCCTCCCCCCCAAAAAAGAAACGAATGCATGCGATCTGTAAAGCCATACAACAGTTTGTGCCTTTCAAACTCTCGAAATGGGATATCTATAGCAGCTGTAATTAAATCTTTTTAAACCCAGTTTCTGTGGGGAGCGATGATTGGTGGAATTTGTGTTAAACGAATTGTCCTTATCAATATTGTAGAGGGTTTTTTAAATAGTTTTTGTTTTGTTCTGTTTTTCTTTCCAGTTCTAACCAGTGAAGAAAAAGGGAGATAAAGCAAGGCTGGCAGGTGAGTTGTAGCTAGTTTGACACATGGTTAATTGACACATGGTTAATTGACACATGGTTAATTGACACATAGAAGAACCATGGTTAATTGACACATGGTTAATTGACACATTGTTAATTGAATTATGGTTAATTGACACATGGTTAATTGATACATAGAAGAAACATGGTTAATTGACACATGCTTAATTGACACATGGTTGATTGACACATGGTTAATTGACACATCGTTAATATATACATGGTTACTTGACACATGGTTAATTGACATATGGTTAATTGACACATGGTTAATTGACACATAGAATAAACATGGTTAATTGACACACGGTTATTTGACACATGGTTAATTGACACATAGAAGAAACATGGTTAATTGACACACAGTTATTTACATGGTTAATTGACACATAGAAGAAACATGGTTAATTGACACATAGTAGAAACATGGTTAATTGACACATGGTTAATTAACACATGGTTAATCGACACATTGAAGAAACATGGTTAATTGACACATACACATATACACTGGTGAAATCTGTTTGAAACATGGTTAATTGACACCTAGAAGAAACATGTTTAATTGACACCTAGAAGAAACATGGTTAATTGACACATAGAAGAAACATGGTTAATTGACACATAGTAGAAACATGGTTAATTGACACATGGTTAATTAACACATGGTTAATCGACACATTGAAGAAACATGGTTAATTGACACATACACATATACACTGGTGAAATCTGTTTGAAACATGGTTAATTGACACCTAGAAGAAACATGTTTAATTGACACCTAGAAGAAACATGGTTAATTGACACATAGAAGAAACATGGTTAATTGACACATAGAAGAAACATGCTTAATTGACACCTAGAAGAAACATGGTTAATTGACATATTCAAAAAACATGGTTAATTTACATATTGAAAAAACATGGTTAATTGACACCTTGAAAAAACATGGTTAATTGACACATACACATATACACTGGCGATGTCAGTTTTAAAAAGGAACTTGTTCTCCAGTGTGCCGTAAAGTTTACTTTTGTGTACAATTTTTGCTGGTTTTGTTTTGTAAACTTGATGTTTCTCGTAAATGTAAGTCCATTTTTGTTTTCACGCAAAACATTATATATGTAGTGGGGTCAAAAGTCCGCGGAGCAGCTTATCCTCAAATATTTCTTTAACGAGTGAATCAATGTCATCCATAATTTGCAGAGCAGTTTGAATCAATTTGTTTTAATTTAATCATATTTTTCCTCAACAATTGAGGCTAGATTTTTAAAAATTCCTACATAAAATGATATAAAATTGTATAAATCTCGGTCACGAGGAAAAAGTAATTGTTCACAGCACTTCCCGCTTCTCAAACACATTTTGATTACACGTGAGGCCTACGTCACAGCTCACCAATGACACTTTTTAGTGGCAAAACTTACAAGATATTAATTCTGTAGTGAACTCATTTTGGGCACTAAATGTTTTCAAAAACCGCGTTCAATAAGCAGAGTGTCATCATTAGAAAAAAAAAGTAACTTGCGATATTGCCCGAGCTGTAAACCTTCTAAAAATTGTAGAAACCACCAGCCTGGATTTTTTAATTAGTATTTATTAAGGAATTTCCAACAATACAGTTAGCAGCTGTTTACAAAAAATGTGGATTAGTTGAGACAAATTGATGCAGGTCATTTTGCAGAAGTTGAAGAAACTATGTTCGACAGCTCAAGAGATATTTGACAATAATATACTGCGCCCCGCACTATTGACAGGATTACAGACTCCCCCTTTGCTTAAATTCTATTTGTTTCCAAAATGATGTGATTGGTGCAAAGATGAGGATGTTGCAGCCTTCTTGAGGGGTCCTTACGTTTTACACCAATTACAAGAACAAGAAAATCAACCACTCCTTCTTCCACTGAAAAATCCAATTTAATATTTGTGTATCTTTGTCAACGTGGCATTTCAAAAATAGTTCCAGGACATTAAGAAAAAGGAATCTAGCGCAACAGTCTTAACGATGTCAAATATGGAAACATTTTTAAGACAGTGGTGTTCCTACATGAAGGATTTTTGTTGTTGTTGATTTGGATGTTTTATTCCATTTCCCTGTGGCCTCAAAACGTGAAGTATAATATCTCGCGCCTTATCTAAGGGACGTACAAATACAAATAATGAAAACACATCCAGTAGCATAAATAATATTAACATGATTTCTTGTCGGGAAATGGTATAGTCTGCCCATTTTGGTAGGCAGATTTCTAGGTCTGCCATAAGTTGTGTTAGTTTTACATAGAAAGAGAGAATACAGGGAGACCTACCACAGTTATTGTCAGACCAACTGGGCATCAGGGAAAAATACAGAGAGATGGAGAGA